GTAAATATGTAAATTCATATATTTATATAGTATATATATATATATATATATAGTATATTAGTCCCTCATTTAACATACCCCCAAAATGGCGAAGCATTATTACAATTATTTTTTATTATTATTATTCAGGCTAAGAGGCTAATATTGTTTATGTTCTAACTGTGGAAAGATGTGGCTTCTTTTTATTTTATTTTTTTCATTTAACCTTTAAATTCATACAGTCTAATCTAATTGAGCCACAAGGACTCAATTACAAGAGGGACCTGTCCCAGACAGAGCATATAAATTACAGACAACATTAACAATAAACAACAGTAAAAATGCAGTTAAAATAAAAGTTGTGTTTTAAGCAATAAATCAGGGTGCTGTAAAACAAGGTAAAATACTAAAACAATAATGTATAGTATTTGCTTTGATTTTTCTGTAGACATTATCAAATGTTTAAAAATCCCCTAAATACATTTATTCTTGGCATATTTATTAAGTAAACAAATAAAAAAAAAGTTTTATGATAGTTTGCTGTGATTATTTTGTTTCAGTGAGAATGTTGCTACATCTTCTCTTTTATTGTAACAAAAAACATTGCTATTTTGTGTGTTCACTTAACTTCCATGATGCTAATATGTTATGAAAATTTGCAACTTTTTATTTATTTATTTTTTTTCAAATTCTTTAAAACACAATTTCATGTTCTTATAAATAAAACGTTTCCCTCAAGGTGTCAGCTATTTGCTCCAAATCTGGGTCTTGTTTGTCATGTACAACTATTCAAGTTTTGTGGGCAAGAGCAATCGTTTATTTTGAGTGTAATAAAATAAATTAAAAAAAGTGTTCTTGCAAAAACAAAAAAAAACCCTTTGTCCTGGAAGCCAATCTTGATTCTGCATTTTTGATCAGATCTATTATGTAAGAGGTGCATGTACAGTTGATTACGCTTAACCAATTACTTGTTTGAATCAAATTTGTTATTTAGGTTAAAGTATTAAGGCTCGGACCACCCACACACCCACACACCTGCTGTCACTGCATGAAAGCCAACAGTTCTGTAAAAATGCATTGCTCAAGTGTGCTCCTCTTCTTATTAAGGAAGAAAAATAAAGATTTTGGCCATGCAACAATTCTGAATATTCAGGAAAGTCAAGTACTCAGTGTGCAGGTAAATATAAAAAGTAGCTTGTGTGCTTAAAAGCTTATTATACCATTTACAATGTGACAATGTGAGCCTGTTCTTACTGAAAAAAAAAATATATATATATAAGATATTTGCATCTTTATAACTACATATCCCCCTGCAGAAAACCACACTGTAGCTTACTGTTCCACATGGAGGACAGTCAGGTACACTATCTCTGTTGGGTTACTCCCTTTGAGATTTAAGAGAAAGCAGATGTATTTGCCACAATTTAGGTCTTTTGAGGGCTACAGTGGATTACCTCTACCATTAATCAAGTCTGCCTCTCCAAAACAACAAAAAACTTGTTTTCTAGCATGCTCTTAAATCTCTTGAACCTTGCACTGACAATAATCTTTAAAAGCGGTTGTCTGTTGGCACAGTTTGTTATATATGTGCAGCACTGAGCAATATAACCCAAAGGAACAGTTTTATTGGAGTGTTATAATGTTGGAGTGTCTACCACATGACTGCTTGGTTGTGAATTTGGGGGTTGTGGATCTTGGGATTTTGTTTGGGAAAGAAAAAAGGCATTTGCATATACAATCTCCTGTAGGTGTTGTGTACCAGACATTTTTCAGCAAAGCACTGAAGCAAACAACATGAACACACAGTACCTTAATAGCAGAGGTGGCAATCTGGAGATGATGGAGTCGCCTAAGGGTGCTTTCTCGGTCGGTGAAATAGGAAGCCGCCAGCTGATGGAGCAGCTCCAGAGAGACCACCGAGCTGTTGCGGTTGCCTTCTGACTTCTTGTTGAGCTTCTGCTTGTCCAGGAAAATGGTCAGTGACTCTTCTCCTGTGGAGTGAAAATCAAGCAGTGAATCGTTGATCTCAAGACGTCAGATTTTTCCAAAAGTCCTGTTAAATGAAGGCTGTTTGAATGAAGCTGATTAAACCTGTTGGTGAAGGCTCACCTCCTCCATGCTGACAGTACAATGCTGTTTCTGGAGGAACTGCAGTGACATTCTGTTTTTCTATCTGACGTTTCTTTGGCAGGTGTCATCTGTCTCACTGTGGTTTTGTGGTTTGCCTACTGCGATGAAGATAATTTATCATTCTGTTAGGCTTTGCACACTCTGTCAGGCGATGATAGACTGATTACCATACAAAAATAGGTCTGTCTTTTCTTTAGTCTGTACAATTTTAGGAAGACATGCATCTGGCCTCATTTCCTCATGTTAACTGGTCAAGGGAATCAGGTGAGGGAAGCAGTGATTTCTATTTTTTTACTTATGCATCGTGGAACTTTGAAAATCTCGGCATGTTTATGAAGGCCAAAGGAAATATTAAAAATAACCAGGTGTTTCTGATCAATGTCCATCATTAAAATAAAATCGAATGGTTGATAAATTTTGTATTTTCAAGGCTGGTTTTACTTGGCTTTGCATGCTTCCAGGAAATGATCCAAATTCCTGCCTTCTGAATTATGCATCAACTCTAAAAATCATCAACACATTTCAATCGTCAACTATGCATATTATTTCAACTAATATTTGCAGCCTATTTTCTGATGTCTGATAACATCCTTGAGAAGGAGAAGGAGGAATTACAGTCAAGGACTCTGGTTATAACACCTCCAGTCATAAAAAAAAAAAAAACACAACATTTTATTTTATTTTAATTTTTTTAATTGCGATGCTTAATCAGAACATTGCAATATGCCTACTGTTTACCAAGACAGCACCCAGTCTTCTTCTAACAACTCAGAAGAATGCTGAGGTAAAAGACAGGACTCATGAGCAACGACAAAACAGTTAGAGAAGGGATGAAGATGAAAACAATGTCCTGTTAATCATGTAAGGTTTATAGTATGTTATTGTCAGCTTCGAAAAGGTTGTTAAGGGAATCAGTCAGCTGTGTTTACAAACCTGACATTTTAGGAGCAGGGGAGAGTTTCTTCAAAATAATTGTTGATTAACCATCTATCCATCCATCCATCCATCCATCCATCCATCCATCCATCCATCCATCTATTATCTTTACCCGCTTCTTCCTTTTTGGGTCGTGGGGGTCACTGGTGCCCATGTCCAGCAATCATTGTGTGAGAGGCTGGGGACACCCTGGAGAGGTCTCTAGTCCATCAGGACACTTAGAGACAAATGAGCCAAACAACCATTCGCTCTCTCACTCACACGTAGAGAACATTAAGAGTTACCAATCAGCCTAACATACATTTTTGGTCTGTGGGAGGAAACCCACGCATGCACGGAGAAAACAAGATCCTGAACAACACTTCACACCCCCTGCATGACACTCTGGACTCTTATTGCAGCACCTTCAGTCGTAGACTGAGACCACCGAGTTGCTCCACAGAACGCCACAAGAAGTCCTTCCTCCCTGTAGCTATCAAACTTTTCAACTCCTCACCCTTTCTACACATAGAACAATAAAATGAATCCTGTACTACAATAAACACTTTAATGTTTCTGTCTGCACCTGACCTGTTTAGATCTTAATTGCTGGTATTTTTTTATATCTTGTGTGATTCCTTCTGTATTTTCCTTTGTACTGAAACTCTGGCACAACAATTTCCCGCGGGATCAGTAAAGTTCTATTTTATCTTACCTCATCTTATCTCATCTCATCTTATCTTCCATCCATCCATTATCTTTACCCGCTTATTCCATTTTGGGTCACGGGGGTTGCCGGTACCCATGTCCAGCAATCACTGTGCGAGGGGCGGGGTACACCCTGGACAGGTCGTAAGTCCATCACAGGGACACATAGAGACAAATGAGACAAACAACCATTCACTTTCTCACTCACACCTAGGGACAATTTAGAGTTACCAATCAGCCTAACATGCATGTTTTTGGTTTGTGGGAGGAAACCGGAGCACCCGGAGAAAACCCACTCATGCACGGAGAGAACATGCAAACTCCACCCAGAATGGCCCCTGGACCGGGGTTTGAACCAAGGACCTGCTCGCTGAGAGGCAGCATCTCTACCGGTTGTGCCACCGTGCTGCCTGACCAGTTACTCGACCTCAAAAATAATCATTAGTTGTAGCACTTCAACAGAACCTATCTGACTGGAGGCCAGGTGAACACCTCAGACTTGTTTTATTGTGTGATCGCCAAACAATTCCCAAGCAGTTTCCTAATGATGGATTGTTAAGACTGATGCTTTTTGAATGTGAACAACTAGTTCTGGATGTCACCAGCAAACTGGTTGATCCATGAGAAGGTGCTGCTTATAAGAATGAGTTTGTTGCAGCTCCTCTGACTGAAGAAGTCTTTTGGATAAAAGTTGAAATGTTTCAGCATAAAATAATCAGTCCAAAGGACCTGACTCAACAGTGTTAGACATTTCCAAACAGTTGTTGTGAAGCGTGCTGCCAAACTAGAGTGGTGGCTCTCTGTGGAGGATTGTCATAACCAAATACGGAGTTTGATTGGTCCACAAATATCATTAAGCCAGACAGTTCCCATTTTAATGCTCTACGGCATCATTAAATCACTTATTCACTTCCGTTTTTGCAAAACTGTGCACCATAGATAGATGCTGCTGGCAAAACAGACATTACAAAACAGAATAGAACAGACTGAAAATAGTAGAACAAAAGTGAACAAGAGACAGAGATCAGGAATGTGCACTTTTTGTCTGCTACAGAGTACAGACTAATCAGTATGCAGCCTGTCTTGGCACATTTAGCTGCAACTGTTAATTACATGTAGAGTCTAGCCATCAGTATGACACTGCATCCATCTCTGCTCCATCTCCCACACTGATGTTTGCAGTAAGAAATGCATACAGCTGCAAACTTTGGTGTCAGTGGATGCATATATACAGAATCAGAAACTGTGCCTGTCAGAAAACTGAACTTGTCTTGACTTATCAGTCGCTATCTCACAACACTACAGACTGAAATCTGTGAGGAATACACTTTGAGTTTTATTATAATCTTCAGTCTATCGTAGAACTTTAAAAGGTTGTCTACTAGTTTAGTAAATTGTTGTTTATTATTATTGCCAACCACTGCAGTCCTAAAAGTGGAGTTTGGGGAGTCAGTGATTGTGCTTGTGGTCATTTGTGTGTGTGTTTATTTGTCTGTATTGTTAGCAAAACATCTGATGAACCAATGAACAAATATCATTAAAGTTAATTCGCAACATGGGTACTAACTGTTCAGGTGAGATATTGCAATATTGCATCAGATCTCACATATTGTTAGTTTCAAGGTTTGAGAAAATGCTAACTGACATTTCGTATTGTAGGATGATCTTAGTATTAAACACTTGCATGCAAGGCAGCTTATGATGTGCATTTCATTCAAGGAAAGCTAAGCCTTTAATAAGACTGACTTAGCAATTACACCAACAATCTGAGTTATAAATAATATTAGTAGTTAGAGGACCGCACAATTACTAACATCTAACTGTTGGTTCCGACTATCACCTGGAGCTTTCGATGTGAGGACTGCTCAGCAGTATATCAATATCACAAAGCGATCACACTGAGTATAAAACAGCCAACGGTCTTGTTTTTGTGAGGTGCACAATCAATACTGCCAGCACTACAGTTTTGTGAATTACCTCTCGCCTCAGGGATCAGGACTACAAAGAAATCCAACAAAGAGAGAAAGAAGGGGAGCAATATGCAAAGAACCTGATCCGTTCAATCCCTCTGCTGCTTTGCGAGACTCCTGCAGTTGTGTGTAAAGTTCATCGGAGAAGAGCACGAGTGGAAAATTTCCACTGCTGGAGACAACGCTGGCAGAAACCTACATGGTACATTGAATGGGTCTAGTTGAGATTGTGGTATTTTATTTGTAATTTCTATGCAGTACAATTTTGATGCAGACTGTAAGCTCCCCTGGGAGCTAAATTGGGGAACTTTTTCTATTATTGGTCTCTGTGCTTCATAACCTGGGGATAAAGGTAATCACCTGCAGTCCTTCCTTACCTCCCAGAGTAGCAGAAACTAGGAAGTGGGTCCCGTACTTCTTGATGAGGTTTTCGTTGATTTGCTGCAGGGTTGGCCGTCGCCCCAGTAACCGCAGGTTGCGTAGGAACTCTGGCGCCAAGGGCAACGGAGCTTTGAGGAAATCTCTCTTCTCTGTGGCCAGGCTGTTCACCTTCCAGTGGCTGAACTCCCTGCAATCAAGAATATATTAACCAGTGAATACACATCCAGTCCTACAGGTGCTTCACCAGGTTAAAACATTTATAGCATCCGCAAGCATAATCAATGTGAGTTATGTTGCTCTTTTAAATGAAAGTTCAAATATCGACTGCAACTATTCAATAGTTTAGGTATTGATTAGACCCTCAGCTTTTATAATCCTGGCATTTTTTGAAAACAACAAAATAGGACCCATTTCTTTATATTTAGTGCCTGGATACACTTTATACAACTTTTGTTTTACATTCACTGTGTCCATTAGATGGAAGTATGTGTGTATGTATATATTCAGTTCAATTCAATTCAATTCAATTCAATTCAAAAATACTTTATTAATCCCAAAGGGAAATTAAGTGTTGTCGTAGCTCATCATCCTGGTTTCATTCAAGAGTTGTTATAGATGCTGACAGCTGTGGGCAGGAAGGA